ATTCGAACGTCTCCCACGACGACCACGACATTCGCACACGTGGACACTCTAAGCCCGATTGCAGAAACACCGAACACACCATCGACCACACAGTAGCGAACTACTGTGAGCACTCCATGTGAGTCTGCGGGTCTCCCTGTGAGTCTGTGGGTCTCCATGTGAGTCTGTGGGTCTCCCTGTGAGTCTGTGGGTCTCTGTGAAACCTCACTATTAGTGAACCACTGTGAACTCTGTGAGTCTGTGGGTCTCCCTGTGAGTCTGTGGGTCTGTCTGTGAGAGTCTGTGGGACTCTCTGTGAGACCTCACTTGTTGTGAACCACTGCAAAACATGAAATTTAACTGGAGGCGATGAATTAATCCACGATGACCACAACATCAACTGAAGCAATGTCCTGCGTAAACTAATCAGGACATTAACTTATGAGTTGAACTTCATCCAGCCAATAAGTGCATACGTATGTACTATGTTGAGGTGCAGGGGAAGGACAACAAACTAATCAAATGAGTTTTCAATCTGGATTATTTAAAAGTGCATGGCTCTAGCAGTTTCCTAATATCGGGTAGGAGAGACAATTCTGGCAGTGAAGTAGATCATCTCATGCACTTGTCACAGCCGACCTCCATCGGGGGCTTCTAACATTTTGCTTGTAGTGTGCCCCCTGCCAGACATATCACATTTTCGCGTACATCGGGGCGATATACAGGGACTACTCTACTTACGAACGACTTAGGTTCCAGAGGTGTGTTCGTAAATCGATTTGTTCGTAAGTCCAACTTTACTCCCGTCGGTTCCAAACACGTTGTGCGGCGTGCACACTAAACACGGTGAATGGCTTTAAAAGTTGTATCATCTCCTGTAGATGTAGATGCCACTGGGTCTTCACGTTCTGCAGATGTAGATGCCACTGGTTCTTCACGTTTTGCAGATGTAGATGCCACTGGATTCTTCACGTTCTGCAGATGTAGATGCCACTGGTTCTTGACGTCCTGTAGATGTAGATGCCACTGGTTCTTGACGTTCTGCAGATGTAGATGCCACCACCGCCATCTATTGCGCAGGTGGTTGAACTTACTGTACGACTCTCGGTCCGAACAGGCAACTCGACATACGGATAGGTTTGTTCTTATCTCTGAAAATGTTCGTAAGTCCGTGTATATGGGTGTTTATATATTTGTTGTTGTTGTTAAAATATTGACATATCGCAACTTTAATTTCAATTAATTAACACATAAGACATTTACTTGACACTTAATAACTTAACCACAACTACCTAAATATTTCCAACTTGATGTTTATACTTCCATCAGCTGTGGTCTATCCACTGCTGGACTACGGGGCCTTCCCCACCCACATGCCGCCAGCACGCAATTGCCAACTCTGGCATAAAAAAAAAACTTCAACTCACACAAGCAGGGCCACGGGTGATTGGGGTTGGCACATGGGGCAATCAGTCCCTGGCCTTACAAGAAAGAGGGGACCCCCACAATTGGGGGCCTTGTTATTTTGTCCCTCCTGAATATGGGGGGGGGGGGGGAGGGGCGCACGTGGCCTCCTGGGCCTCTATGATCTCCTTGGGCAGCCCCTGCACAAGGATAAAGATTCCGCTGCCGCCGTATAGCCTGAACAGACTGTTGGGGCAAGTGCTGTTAGCGAGTAGCACCCACTGTATGAATGCCAGAAAGGCACACGAGGGGGCGGGTGGCCAGCACATCGCACGAAGGAACTCATTTGAGGCTTAGTCCACCTAGGGGAGGAGGCGCAGGACCGGTTCAAATAATCGTCACCGGTGTTGGCCGCGTGCCGGACACGAACTCGGATCGCCGGGTTCGCAACGAAAAAGCGAGCGCACAGCTGCCGCTGCCCATGCAGCCCTGTTCGATACGCACACACACACACACGGTCGTTTCTTGTCATCCTCATCGCCTGAGCGATGCCTGAGAACACAGGACGCCTTCGTTTTGATGGCCCAGCGGCTTCCTCTAAACAGCCTCGGGGTAACCCCATCCAGCGGCATGCACAGCGCGGGGGGGGGGGGGCGCGGGGTGGTGCCACGGCGGTCGGGTGTCAGGGTGCCAACGGGCGACAGAAATGGACCGGGCGGATGCCGAGAGGCAGTAAGTTAGGGCGCCGTACCACGGGCACACACACACGCACGCACGCGCGAGTGGATCGTGAGCACAAATTATGTGACACCTCGAAGTCAGTCTGAAGGTCGAAGATCGGCGGAGGTCACGCATATTGTGTATCTATCTATCTATGTGTGTATGTTGGACTTGTATCGCAGCGTACGTTAGCGAGCCGTGCGAGTCGGAGGTGCTGGAGGTGCTTATCGGAGTAGCTTTAGGGTATGGTTGGGATTGGGGAGGGTTTAGAGTATAGGGTTTAGGTTTGTAGAAGTTAGGGTAGGGTTCGAGCTGGGTCGGTTTAGGGTTAAGTTTGGGTAGAGTTAGGTGTGGGAGGTGGGGGAGTTCACCGCACTGGGCTTGCACTCCAGAGGCCGCCGGTTGGATTTGATCTCCCGGCGCGGCAGGCGAAGCAATGGACAAACTTCCCTAAATTTCGCCGCCCCGCGCCGACCCTGTCCACCTAGCGCCGATCGGCAGGTCACGTGCGGTGGGGTCAAGTCTGTGCACTCCCACCTCTTGCGAGGTGTCTGAGGCCGGCGTAGGAAGAGTAGGCCAAAATCGCCGCAGCAGCAGCGCCTTCGGCCGCCCCCAACTAAGCCACCCACGGGTTGTCAACGGCCGCTCCTCCGTGGGCTCCCTCTCGTCGATGCCTCCCCTTCCTCCGGCTGGTAACGCGGGCAAGTCATTGCCGGGGCTGCGCCTTTGCCCTCGCAGTGTTTCCTCTGCGCGCCCACCACAGACCGCCCAGCGCTCGCAGTCGTTTCAGCTATGCCGTCATGTACTGACGAATGCGCGCGCGTGTGTATGTCTGTGTGTGTGTGTGCGTCTGTGTGTGTGTGTGCGTCTGTGTGTTTGTGTGCGTCTGTCTGTGTGTGTGTGCGTCTGTCTGTGTGTGTGCGTCTGTGTGTGTGTCTGTCTGTGTCTGTGCGTGCATCTGTCTGTGTGTGTGTGCGTCTGTCTCTGTGTGTGTGTCTGTCTGTGTGTGTGCGTCTGTGTGTGCGTCTGTCTGTGTGTGTGTGCGTCTGTCTCTGTGTGTGTGTGCGTCTGCCTGTGTGTGTGTGTGTCTGTGCGTGCATCTGTCTGTGTGTGTGTGCGTCTGTCTCTGTGTGTGTGTGTGCGTCTGTCTGTGTGTGTGCGTTTGTCTGTGTGTGTGTGTGCGTCTGTGTGTGTGTGCGTCTGTGTGTGTGTGGGATGTGGGGAGCGGTGGTGTAGCGGTTAGGCTGCCGGGCGTGGTGCTGGCTACCCACCCCCTCGTGTGCCGTGCCGACCTTCATAGATGCTCGCTAACAGCACTTGCCCCTATAGTCTGTTAAGGCTACACGGGGGATCTTTTGTCTTTGTAGCGTGTACATGTATTTATATATAAGGCTGATTTTGCCCATATAGAATGTAATGCATGCACGTAATCACGTGTGTGCATCAACATGTGTGCTTGGTTTGGGTTACGAGCCAAGTGTTTGTGTCTGTGACAATCATTCGCAATGCGCCCCATCTCTCGCCAGATACTGGAAGTTAAGCAGCGTTGAGCCTGGATAGTTCTTGGATGGGCCGCCGCCACCACCACCACCACGCACAACTGGGTTGTTAGAGGTTACTGGCCGGACTACGCGGCTAGCAGCAGAGGGCAGTACAGCAAAGTAATCCGTCGTTCCAATGCGTTCCTCTGCTCCCGTTGTCTGCGATGCAAGTCCACCTTCACCGACCCGCACTCATTCGATATCACGCGTCGCTGATGTTGACCGGGGCTAGCAATCAGACGCAGGCGATCATTCATTGGGGTTTGTGTTTAGTTCAGTGCGCTAACCACTGCGCCACCATCCCACCAACCCCCGCCACCGCCCCCCCCCCCTCCCTCGATAGCGATGAAGTGAAACATAAAATCGATTCTGAGCATTTATTTATCTTCAAACAAATAATCAATTTATTCCTCAATTTTTTTTTTCCACCGGACTTCTCCACGGATGGCCCATTCTGCCACGCACCCAGTGCCGGATGATCCCAGTAGCACAAGTAGCTACACGCGTGTAGTAGTAGCTAGTACACGTGTAGTAGCTACTACTACACGTGTAGTAGTAGCTACACATGTAGTAGTAGCTACACATGTAGTAGCTACGGGCCCCGCACTTTCAAGGGCCCCGCGCTAAATGCTTTCAAGCTATCAATTCCGGTTACAGTGATTCTGCACTTGCTCTATGACTATAGTACGGTACTTGACTTAAAGCTTTTGTGACTGCACGAAAATACAGCGGGAGAGTGCTCCCACAATATTTTTTCACCTGATGACGATTGCTTGTGTTGCAATCGAAACGTCGTGATATTTGTATTATTGTTATATCTACGTGGCTTTACCGAAAAACCCAAAGAATATACTATAGTACTTCAACTTTTACGAACGACTGGGTGTTTAAGGTTAGCGATTTGTCGTATTCTCTGACTGTACAGCAAATGAAAAAATGCAATTACTTTACTGTGCAAGTTAAAAATGTGTGTTTTAATATTTAAGTGGTTTTAAAAAAAAAATTCAGGGCCCCTTTATAACATACGCGATGGGCAACCGCACTCGCTTAATCCGGCACTGCACGCACAACATTGTCCCCTTTGAACGGAGCCGGCAATCTCGCCGCTGACTGACAGCAGCAGCAGCAGACTTTTTGGGGCGCGTGGAGCCCCTCCTCTCTTCTCAACGCGCTATGGGACGGTCCATTCGGCACCGAGGACCGGGGAAAACAGGGGGAGGTAGCGTCCGTTAAACAATTTTTTTTTTACAACAAATGGCTTCGCTGAAAAGGGCCGAGCCTGAACGACACCGTCCGTCCAACTGCCTCACGCCCCCCCCCCTGCCACCCATCCACCCACCCACCCCCCGCCACCACCACCACCTCCCTCTCTGCGCGGTCTCCGAATTGCAGTACGAGCGAATATTCAGTCGTTCGGTTTTTTTTTGCCGCAGCACTTTGTGGGTTTCCTTTGGTGACCCGTCCTGCGGCTCCGGCTCTTTTGAAACCGGTGGCAAAATACCGCAACCGCCGAGTAGAAATTGCTCAGTTTGTTGTTGTTGTTGTTGGGGAGTGGCAAGGAGCAAAATAAACTTTTGGGCCCTCTCGTGAGATTTCTGCGTGGCGCTGAACAACCTGGAAACCTTCTTGTGCGTGTGACCTTCAAGGTAAGGTCATTCTGCCATCGGCTTGTTAATTCCTATGGGTTTTAGGAGGGTCATAAATTGTACGGATAGATGAAGCGGTGTGGGTGTTTGGTTCTTTTTGTGAAGGTTGGAAGTTGATCGTTGCATCGTAAATTTACAGTACGGTGTTTAATTCCTAAATGCCAAACTTTTTAAGCAATGAGAGTGATAATATTGTCCATCGTATGAATATTGTACTGGTGTCATGTTATTATTGGAAGTTGTAAGCAAAGCTTGTATAATCGTTTGAAAGCCCCCTGAGATTAACAGTTACTTTGCAAGGTAACCCTCTCAGTGAATATGTAATATTCTGATGATGCTTACAGTAACATATGTGTATGATTATCTTCTACGCATTGATTCTGAGTGACTGATTGACCCATGTAATATGTCAAATTGGTTATAGACTGATTAGACGGCTGAAATTGTGTAACTAATTTAGTCAAGCCAATCCACATAACAGGCAAATCCGAAACCCAACATTACGGTCGGGGAGGTTGACAGGCTTCACCCATAGGGCAGCATTAGCCTATAATTTCCACGTTGCTTTAAGTCTCGTGTTAAACATAAACAAACATGCGATCTTCCACCCGCGAATCGAGCAGTTTGCGTCGCGACGCCAAAAGTCGATGGCAAGTGGCCGGCGGCTCACGCAAAAGAGCCTCGGGTGTCAAGGGCCGCCGAAGAGACGCGAACTCTGGACCCCTTCCCCCGTAGCATCACTCCCGACGGGGGTCTCGGTCGCCCGCGTCGCCCTCGGGCCTCGCTCCCCAAGCGGCTTCCCGAGCACGAGGCCGGTCGCACTTCGTCCGGCGCGCGTCCGTCCGTCCGGTCGAGCGGGGAAAGTTTTTCCGCGCTAGGGCCCCCGGATATCGCCCGACTCCGCCGTGCGTTGCAGCTGCTGATTGACTGCAACGCAACGGATGGCCACGGGGAAATTATCACGAGCCTCGTTGTGGAGGACGGGCGCCAACATCCGTCCCTCCGCGTGAGAGTATGCTGCTGAAATTTGATTTTGGTTTGGCCGCTGACATGCGCCGATGTTTGCTGAGATGGTGCACTTCCAGAACGCCGTGTGCTTGAAGTGGATGGGACAGATGTATGAAGGAGATGATATTGTCTGCCTATTTGTTCTGTTGTTGTCAAAATACAGTTTTGTTATCATTGTTATTATTGGGGCATTATGAATGACCGTGCTTGTGAGTTGCACGTGGCCCATGTGGATGCGTCACGCACTCTCGTGATGTCCGATTTCCACTCACGCACCGGTTGCCCCAAGATTCCCCTTGTCATAATAATCGTCGCTGTTTAACATTGGAATTGCACGTTAAATTCCATTTTAACAAGTATTTTAAAGTTCATACACCTGGCTCTTGTATATTTCAAGAAGCTCAATTGTATACTCATTAAAATTTTGACATTTTCACGTGCATTCCGAGTTTCAATAGTGGTCTAATTTTTGAATCGTTTGTCTTATGCTTGTTTCGACTTAAGTCTCATCTTTAAAAAAAAAAGACGTGTAATCCCAATGGGCTCTCATCTGATTACAAATGAAGGATTTTTAACACTTTCCAACTCGGGAAAAAATCATGAATGACCTCTGTCTGCATGCCTCTTTTGTAACGCGGTAGCACGATAAAGGCCCGTTAGGATGATCCAACACGAGCAAAACTTAAGTGCAAAGTTGCGTTCCTATAAGACATTTTGCCCGGTTGGAAACCGCCCACATTGATCACAGCGTTGCCCACACCTTGGGAGATTGAAAAAAAAAACAGAGCTAAAAGTTTCAACCTGCCGGCCCACGCGAAACGCCTCCTCCTCCTCCTCCAAGCTCGACGCCATCTCGTTGTGAGGCTTGAGACGCATCGTCATAACTGCTCGACGAATCACTTCCAAGGACAAACGTGCGTTGGGGACGTCCGGCGACTGATACGACGTTTCGTCCCCACCCCTCCCGCGTGTCCAGGTTTGGAGAGAACTTTTGAGACATGTCCACGACCAACAACGCAGCTGCGGCTGCCACCCCGCAGAGCCTGAAGCACACCAATGCCCACGACGCGGTGAGTTCCGCTTGATGGCGACGCGCGTTCGTTCACGAGCGTAGACGCGACGACAATGATCTCACAGCCGTTCTCTCTCGCTCTCGAAGAGCGAGAGAGAGCGAGAGAACGGCCTCGGCGGCGCGAGGAGGAATCACGGACGAGCGGGGAAGGCATCATCAGGCGGTCGGTGAGCCGGCGCCAATAATTGCCGAAGCTCTGCGGTCCCCGACATATTAAGGTGTCATCGGCCAATTCATGAGTGTTTCAACGTGGGAGGAAACCGGAGCACCCGTGAGAAAACCCACGCGTACGAGGGGGAAACACTCGATCCCCTTACAGATGGAACGGCTGGAATCCACACGTTTGCCGTACCGCCTTCTCCCGGCGAGCCAGGGTGTCACACCTCCTCAACGCCCACGGGGAGTTTCACAACATCTCTGTGTGCGATCCACCAAATCTCGCCGCTGTCTGGACTACAGGCCACGTGCATAGCCACCACAGCACGGCCCATTTTTGTTGTTGTTGTTGTTGTTGCGTGTGTTCCCTGTTTTGTGGTGAGAGGTCATTTGGAGGTTAAATCATGAAATACATCATCGGTGGCCGGGTGGCTCAGTGGTCAGAGCGGCGAGCTGCCACCGCAAAAGTCCTGGGTTTGAATCCCTGTTGGCCAGGGCATCCCCTGTAGCAGTGACGCAGCATGGTTGTCATGTGCCCTAGTGCAAGGAATAAATTCCCCCCCCCCCCGTCCCACCATTTCTCTGTCCAATATCCCAATTCTGCGGAGATCAGCGCCAATCAAACTCTTGATCACTGGTACAGTTGCACCACCTGCACGTCCGTTAGTTTCGGAACTTCCCTGTAGCAATGTATGCATGGCTATATATGTGATCGGGTTTATGGTCCGGCACTCACTGAGTCACTCCAGGAACTCACTCATCAAGGATCGATGGCTTCTTTATCACGCTCTTATCTCAGATACCACAGTTTCTGTTTCCAAAAAACTTCACTCCTTGATTCCTCCACCCGCGTTGAGCACTCGGTCTACCAGACCGACCGTTTCGTCCCACCCATGCTGTGTTCACCCACCACACTGCAGGTCACAACAACACAAAGACAAAGATTCACCGCATAGCCTTAACAGACTGTTGGGGAAAGTGCTGTTTAGCGAGTAGCACCTATGAAGGCCGGCACGGTACACGAGAGGGTGGGTGGCCAGCACCACTCCCGACCGCCTTTGTCTCCAAAGTGGCGATGTTTGCACATCGCACCAGGTAATCATTTGGGGCTCAGTCTACCTAGGGGAGGCCCAGGAGCAGTTCAAATAATTGCCACTGGTGTTGGCCGTGAGCGGGAATTGAACTTGGGTCGCCGGGTTTCTAGCGCAGCGCGCCAACCGTTACGCTACCGCTCCCCCCACTCAGGGGCCACGGCCGCACTAAAGGCCACCAGGCCACAAGTGGCCCCCGGGCCTTACATTGTAGAACACTAGTCTAGACGGTATTTTGACATACTCTTCCACGCTGATCCGACGGTTTGGAAGGGGTCAAATTACCCACACTTTTAGAATCAGAATATGTATTTATACTGGAGGAATCCGATAAGCTGTAAATCTCTTTGTTTTTCCACATGTCCAGTCGGGACTGGTAAGAACGTTACAACAACAAACAATACACAAACATGATAGGCGTGCAGAGTACAAGAAAGGTCAACAAATCACCTGAACACGTACAAATACAACTTAACCATACCCCGACACACGTGGACCTGCGTATCAACTAACTGCGGTGCACCAATTTCTCCCGCTGGGTGGACGGAAGTGGCCAGGTTCAAGAATCTTGCCCCATCGTGTCAACTACCGCGCCGGGGCATTGAATCGAACGGGCCAACCTCTTGCATTGCAAGCTTCAGCGGTGCCGCTGTAACCGTTATGCCACCGTGGCAGCGTCCCCCTCTGCACATGCGCAGCTTTAATGGAACGGCCGTTCTCGAGTTAAGCCCGTTGTTCGAAATGGCCACTGGGTTGGCATGATCAGGACAACGTGAAACCGTACCCCGTCGCCGGATTGACAACAGATGTTCTGTAATGAATGCTCCGCTCTGTTTTAAAAATAATTTGCCCGCCCGATGTACAGTGCTGCCTCGTGTTCAGCAGGGGCAGCCGCTCGGCCCATCGCAGCCACGGGGCCATTATTTTATTTTCATCCTTCCCTTTGAAAACGTGGAACGAGTCTTGTTTTGCCAAGTTGGTGTCGGGTGCCGTCTCGAAGCGAGCCAGCAGCCCGTGTCCAGTTCCAGGTTTGTGTTGTTCAACGCAGGTGAGAAATCAAGAGACCAGGAGAGGAGTCTCATTTGCAAGAGTGACCCTGGGGCCATTTATATGCCAATAGGTGGCAATGCCAATTGACTAATTTTGTGGGCAATTTTCGAATTTGCAATAAATATTTGTGTTCGAGTAATTACGTTCATTGGAGGTCAGCCCTGGTAAAGTAAGATTTTTTTTTGCCAGCAAACCGTTGCTCGTGGAAGACGGAAAATATTGAAAGGGATGGGACACTTTCCCAGAGTGGCTCAAATTTGTTCATCTGAAAGGAGGCTTAGTGGTCTATGCCCAAACACAAGGCCACCACTGCTGAGATTTTGGATTTAAATCACATGCGTCCATCAGCTATGATCAATCTGCTGCTGTTTGATAGTCTCCACAAGCCATCTCCATCTCTCATGGTCACATGATGTAATAATCCATCTAGTATCTCACACACCAGTTTAATTTAATCTCATCTTCATGTTATCACCAGAGATTTAAAAAGGTTGTCAAATCAGGTGAGTCACTGGTCTCAACCCAGCCAGATTGTTGTAAGCATTCGGCAAATAAGCACAGATAGAATAATTTTATCTGCAGAGCAGAATGAAGTATAATTTATGGCGTGGTTAAGTTAGATGCTTGAGGGATATCAATCGGAAGCCTGTGGCAGGGGAGGCCAGCGTCTTGACCCTACGAGCTACGTACCCAAATCTTCTCGTGAACATAAGCCACAAGACACGCGCGGGGTGTTCACATGGGGAGGTCACTGGTTGGCTGTGAGGTTTCGAATTTTAGAAATACATTTACAGGAGCACTTCGGGGTTATCCATGCCTGGCTACGTTGCCAAGGGCTAGTGCCCCGGGGTCGCAGATTTTTCCTCTTACAATTAAAGTTTTACGAACAAGTTACAAATATGTTCTATGGACAAATTACAAATCTACTGCGTTCTATGGACAAGTTATGGACAAGTTCTATGGACACGTGACAAATCTGCTGAGTCTCTGTCGAGCCTTGCTTGAACTCCCCGGGAGCCACATGCGGATCACGAGCCGTGGTTTGGTGCTGTTGCTTCAAGGTCGTGACACCGTGTAAATCTGTGCGGCGACCTCTAGAGGTCATCCGAATTGATCCCCAATGAAAGCACAAAACATAAAATGAACAGATTCGATGCTCGTGTAGTCCTTACCAAATTTGAAAGTTGAAAGTTTCTGGACACGCGGGTGAAATGCATGGCAATCGTCGTCAGCAAATCGTCACCGATTGACGCAAACATTTCTACTGTTAACAAAAAGAAACAATTGAACCAAATTTGGACCAATGTTATCGATGCCGCCCCCCCCTCCGACGGGCAAATGGGATGGCAACTACCAATTGTATCACACGCAGAGGTGGCATGACCACCCCGGTTTGAGTGCTCTTGTGGTCCAATGATTGTTCATCAAATGCGCTTTTCAACAAACTCTGTTTCACTGTCTTCTTTGGTTCTTTCGGTAAAGTCACGTAGAATTATAATAAAATAATAAATTGATAAAATAAAATAACACAATAATATTCTCACGACGTTTCGGCCACAACACAAGCGGCCTTCATCAGGTGAAGGGGGCGAGACTGTCTGGTAGGACAGCGCTGGAGTGTTTCACTGCCTGGACGCCGCTCAATCGCTGTTCTGCCGATGCCGCGCCGAGTTGCCACTGATGCTCAAAGTCAATGCGTTGCCAGCAACAATTGCTGCAGCATAGCCCTCGCGCACAACCAGTGCTGGATTATCGTAGTAGCAAAAGTAGCTGCATATGTAGTAGCTACGGGCCCCGCACTTTCAAGGGCCCCGCGCTAAATGCTTTCAAGCTATCAATTCCGGTTCAGTGATTCTGCACTTGCTCTATTACTATAATACTATACTGCCTTAAACTTTTACGAACGACTGGGTGTTTAAGGTGAGCGATTTATCCTATTATCTGGCTGTATATCAAATGAAAAAATAGAATTACTTTACTATGCAAGTAAAAAATGTATGTTTCAATATTTACGTGTTTTTTTTATTTAGGGCCCCTTGATAACATCATGCTACAGGCCCCGCACTAGCTTCATCCGGCACTGCGCACACCCGTGTTAATAGTTAACAGTAGACAGACACCGAGTGGAGACGTGGAGTCATACTCAGGGCTTCATTTCAGCAAGAGTCTGCCCGGGTCTGTGACCCCGAAATGTATTTCTGCGCCCGGCACACCGCATCCAGTATACCCGCCCCGATATTGGCTGTGGGCCACTGGGCACGCGTCTGATCCCAGTCTACCAGGCGACCCGGAAAATATTTGGTGGGAAATTAGACCCGTGCGGAAATAGTCGAGTGATACCGGTGTCGTTGTGGCGAGATGAGGGGGGGAGGTGCCTTTAGAAGAGAACATTTCAATATCGTACTGTACAGTGGTGTCTCTTTTCGGATCGTACCCCAGGGTGATGACACGAGGGGTTGCTGTCTGCAGGAGATTTTGTTTTGGAAAGTGCCTCACTCTGCCAAGATGTCAATAGCAAGATTTAAATATAATTGCAGGGAATTATCGTATAGGCGGTTGATGGAATACTGCGATAAGGCGTTCAGTTGCTAGAATGAAGGGGTATACCTTTTTTATTACTTGATCTCATGGTGGGAATTTGCCAAATTCAAGTTAATAGCACAGTTGGGATTACACGTAGCAAGCATTGCCCCCCCCCCAC